CTAGTAAGTTTCTTATTCATCCAGGTCTCCGGAAAATTCAAGTCGGCACACCGTTTTGCGTCAAATTTCTTCTTTTATGCATGCACAGTCACCTAAAATGAGCAGTGACCATATTGATAGATAATAATGTAAATAGTAAATGATGTGTTATGATTATGAGGTGAATGATAAATGATAACAATAATAATGCGAAACTGACAAGCAGGTGTTTCTGGTTGTAATATAAGTAAAGGTCGCCGTAGTCGAACGACCTTCTCTCGCTATCAACTGCAAGCATTGGAAGAGCTTTATGGAACCACACATTATCCAGATGTTTTTACGCGACAAAAACTGGCTGATCAAATTAATCTCGCCGAAAGTCGTGTTCAGGTTGAAGTGTTTCCTTGCTCGAAGTCCGTACTGAATTGATCTAGAACTAAAGCTTTACATTTATTGTTGAGCAGAGATGAAATTATCGTTATTCAGCAAAATGTGGTATATGGTTTCTCTGGAGAAAATCCTTTCGAAATCGTGTGTCGATTTAATTTAAGGCATGAAAAATCGAATAGAACCAGGCGATTTCTATTCTTCTAAATCTATTAAAAATCGTAGAATTCACTTCAGATTTGGTTTAAAAATCGCAGAGCCAAAAGTCGTCTTCAAGAGAAACAAAAAGTGCTAAATGAAAGCGCAACAGTGGATGAGCTGGCCAATGATGATACGATCTCACCGACAACGCAACAACGAAAGCAACAGCAAGAAATTGCAAAACGGTGAGATATTCATGGTGTAAAATGAATGGCATTCATACTACTCCCTCAATAAATACATTCGTACTGCTTCCTTATCACTGATGTGTGTTATCAAATGAATATCAAAATCATTCAGCGATTCTGACAAAAGTCCATCACCGTCAGCGATATTAGAATCGATGAAGAAAATAGCTGGAAAACATTCGAAACCACTGAATGCGAATCTCGAGAACATTCTCAATAATTTCATCAACAGTTCATCATCGAGCAATACGTCGATTAATGACCCTACTACAAGTGATACTCT